CTTAAAGGTGGAAGGCATTACTTATTTGATTACTCTGCAAAATATTTTTTCATGCTGTAATCTACTTGAATTGTATAGAAAGTGTGTTCTTTGTGCAACAGTCTGTTTTCATTGAGGTAAAGGATAGTTAGTATATTTTGAATTTTATTACTCAATTATTTTCCTGTTTGTTCTTCAAAATTGTAATTCTGTGTACAAATATGATCACCCTATAGTTCTAAACAAAATATCTGCACTCTTCTAAAATTTGGCCTAATTATGAAATAGACAGCAAATGAGCTACATCAGTGTCATTCATTCATATCACCTCATGCTCTGGAATCTCTTCCATCTCCATGATCGGGGGTGACCTGCAAAAGGGTTTGAATTGCTTCCCAGGCCTGTGATGCAGGGCCCATGTTTAGTTTTATGCTAAACATGCAAATCCTTCCAATATATTCACGTTACCTGGAGGGAACCTAGATGAAGTCACTTGTTAATCCACTTATCCAGGATAAATTCCAACAATTGAATGATCACAAATGTTTTCTCCAAATCTCAGAACATATACCAAAAATTAAGGAATTGGGGGGTTATTATAATTGCCCTCAGTTTTGTTTGCCTGGATTATTGTACCAATTAGCTAATGCTGTCTAACAACTTGCCCTAAATGCTATATTTCCGGGGTCCAGCCTCAGCAGGGTTCAAGGTCCCCAAAGGATGGATGGCACAGGTAACATGATGAGTCAGACACCCTACTGGATGTTGGAGAACAGCCAGGCTCTGTGGGTCTGACTGAACTCATTAAGTTTGATTTAGGCTTTATTTTTGTTTTAAAGATTTATTTATCTTTAGAGGAGAAGGGAAGGAGAGAGGGAGAGAAATATCAATGTATGGTTGCCTCTCGTGCGTCCCCTGCTGGGAACTGGCCTGCAACCCAGGCATGTGCCCTGGCTGGGAATTAGACTGCAACCCTTTGGATTGCAGGCCCATGCTCAATCCACTGAACTACACCAGCCAGGTGATTTAGGCTTTATTTTTATAGAGATTGTTATATAATATTAAAGGAACAGGTGATCAGTTAAGCAGAAAAAAACAGTACAGAGGTAACCAGGAAAAGTACAAGAATTTCCATAGTTTCAGTTATGTTAAACAAAAGTTGTTTTGACCAGGAGAACCATTAATCAGACAATTTGAAATAGCTTTATGTACAGAGTTTGAATGTTTTATTGTTTATTAAAGGCCTTAGAATTTGACATTTGAAATAGCTTTATGTACAGAGTTTGAATGTTTTATTGTTTATTAAAGGTCTTAGAATTTGACATGGGGCAAAAGTGTATGCTAGACTAAGCAGAGGTTAGGAAATTCATTATAAGGCCTTTGTGATGTCTAACTTAGCTATCCGTCTTTCTGTCTAAACTGTTTCTTTATGTAATATGAACTCTAACTCCTTGGTAATTGTTTCTACATGCTTAGTTTGTAGTAGCTAATCAGCTTCTTCTGTTTCTTTGCCTGTCTACTTCTAATTAATACATATCCCTGTCCAAGGTAGAGGAGGGGCTGTTACTCCATCAACTTTTAGATATTCAGGGGCTACTTCATTAGGAAGAACTTTGTTCTCTGGCCAGAAAATTATTTTGTATAAGTTCATTGGAATTATGGGGATCATTGGGCCTGAAATGCAGGTGTCTAAAACTCCAATGACTTATTAATTGCAAAGACAAACATGCAAGGGAGAGATAGACAGGAAATCCAGCCACAGTTGCCTCTGCTATGCAGATGCATCTCATCTGTCTCACCTGTGTCAAGGGACAATTGTTGGTCGGCTCCCAACACTATATTATTATAACACCCTTTTTCTCAAATGGGTTCATGTGATGGGAGTTGCTCTGATCTCTGCCCTGAATTTCCTGGGTCTGCCTCAGCTGTGAGTCTCTGCACTGAGCATGTGTAGCTCATCCATGATGTTATGTAAGGGTTGTGTGCACCCTGCCTTGAACCAGTTTATGTCAGTTTACTCTATTTATATATGTAAACTAATCTTTTAGTTTACAAAAAATATGTGGTTTGCCTTAAATTAATGCTACTTTTTGATATTCATTTAAGACACATTGCTCCCTACCCAGTGACATTTCTCCCTCCCCTGTTAAAGTGTGGCTCAACTACCCATGCTCTACATCTTACCTTGAGCCATGCATCATTAGATTTCTCTTGCTCATATTTAAAGTGTACAGTTTTCTGAATTAAAGGGGTCTTACAAAATTAAGAATACATATTGCATGCATCCATGCTTACATAATTCAAAGATATGTATGTATAAAGATTTTAAGTTCATTGTTACATAATTCTGAACAACTGAATCTCCCTGAGCCCATTTTCTTAGTTCTGATGGTGATGTGGGATAATAATAAATCTAATGAATACAGTGCAGAAAACATAAAATGTCTGGAAATATTTCTTGAGTACAGGGCTCTCTTATGGTTTAGTAGGGTGTTTATGTGTATATGTATATATGTGTGTGTATCTACATATATAATATTTATAAGTATAAATATAATGACTTAATTAATAAGCATTCAATTGCATAAATGTACATAAATGTACTCAATAATACCATCTTCGATGTTGAAAGGAAATTTCAGAGAAAACTGAAGACGATAGAAAAAAATTATGACAGGTTGAAATAAAAGGAAGATTAAAAAATGTACAAACTACACACAAAGATTTTAAGCAGTATGGTTGTCTAAATTTTTTTAATCCTTACTGCAGGACATGTTTTTATTGATTTGAGAGAGAGAGAGACTCAAATGAGAAAGACTGATCCATTGACACCCACACATGCCCCAGTGGAGGATCAAACCCCCAAATCCATGCAAGTGCCCTTACCAGGAATCCAACCCATAACCTTCTGATACACAGAATGATGCTCCAACTAACTGAGCCTCATGGCCAGGGCAGTTGTCTTTAATTACTTTCCTCTCTCAATGTCCAAACACTTAAAAGTCAGAACCACATTTTCTTTTATACGGTAGGGATCTCTGTACCTGCTAATAGAGCAGAAGCTCCAAATTGACTTTAGATTTCTTTCTTCTACTTATTGGGTGTTTCAACAGAAAACGTCCTCACCCAAGGGATGCAAGTAAATGAATTGAGGTTCTTTAAGTCACTTTCCCCTAAAAATGATTGAATAAGTGTCTGCATAACAGTGTTATTGCTGCTGTAACAAATTACCACACTAAGGGTTTAAAAGAAACAAGTTCATACACCTATAGATCTGGGGGTCAGAAGCCTGATGAGTCAATGGGCTGAAAGCAAGATATCTGCAGAGCCAGGTTCCTTCTGGCTTCAGGGTAGATCCTGTTTCCCCTTCTACCCCAGTTTCTCCTGCCACTAGGCCCTACTCCATCTTCAAAGCCAGCCATGTAGCATCCTTCAGTTTCCCTCGGATTCCAACTACTCTTCTATTCTGTTCCAATGTTAGGACCATGGTGAGTACATCAGTCCCACCTACATAATCATGGCATTTTATCTTAAAATTAGCTGATTAGTCACACTATTCCATCTGCTACTTTAATTCTGTCTTGCATTGAAAAGTAACATATTACAAGTTTATGGGAATTATGATGTAAGTATATTTAGAAGCTCTTCTTTTGCTTACTGCAAATTTTTCTTCACTAATAATTTTCATAGTGTCACACAAGGGCCCTTATGCAAACAAATCAAATTAGGTACTTTTCAGAAGCTTATCATATGTCACTCATGAATCCTTATACAAAATAATTGAACAATGAATTTATAACAGCTTCTGGAATGAGTGAATATACACTATCCATGCAAATGATTTTTGGTTTTGAAGACCTAAAAGTACCTACACCTGACTCTAATTTAGAGCCAGCCATACTACTCAAACTGTGGTCCAGAGACAAGTTCCTGCAGCATCAACACCACCTGGGAACAAATTTGATTCTAAGAACCCCTGGGCCCACCAGGACTTGATTCGAACAGTAATGTTGGGTGACTTATCTTGAAGTTGGAGAAGTGCTGCTCTACGCTAGGCTTTGTCACCTTCTCACGTTGACAATAGGGGTGGGATAATTATTTGTGATGGATACTATAGGTGGTTAGTAGCCTTTCTCCACATATTTCAGGGGCAAAATCATCTCAGGAGGAGAATCACAGGCCCAGAGTTTGAAAACTGGGAGCAACCTGGCAGATTTCAATCAAGGTCCATCCCTCACTTAGTTCATAACTTTGAGCAAATCACTAAATGCCTTCCAGCCCCATTTCTGCAAAAGGAAATGCAGTTCATGATAGTAATACCTAATAGAATAGACTTTTCAAAAATTATATCAGAAAAGTCTATAAGGTATTAAGTTCAGATAATATAGCATAGAACTATCAAAGGGTATCTCTCATAATTAATACATATTTTATAATGAAACACTATATGGCACCTCATAACTTGTGATATTAAGAAATGTCTATTTATTTTGACAAATGCATCAGGAAGTCAGGCAGTGTGGTAGCCAGGATTGCATATCAGAGGAACACAGTTCTCCCCTCATTGACGAGGGGATAGCAATGCTCTGGAGACATCAGGGTGGTGTTGCTATCATAAATAAGTTATTGGGTATCAAAAGACCAACCTGGGTCTGATGGGTTTTATTGTCTCAGACTTTGGAGAAAATGTTCACTCAGTGTTGGAAAAAAGTACTAGGAGGTGAGACCTCTGGGAAGCACATGAGACCCAAGACAAGGAGTCATAAAATCTAAATCCTCCTGGCTTCTACCATGGTCTTTTGAGATCTGAGAATCATTAGGAAAAATTTTCTTTCTGTTAATTACAGAGGCCCTGGGGGAAATCATGTACTTACATGTACAAATAACATGAGGGAAATGTGTCTAATGAGTCAATATACAGAGAGTTGTGAATATCTCTCCATGCAGTACCTGACCTTGTACAATGATGATGGATAGGACATGGTTGTTGCTGTTGATTCCTAAGTCTTGCTCAAGAACTGATGTTTCACTCCTTCCTACTGTCTTGTGTGGGACAGAGCTTCAGTCTCCATCATCAACCCTACAGGGAGTAATTCTCACACACAGAAAACTTCATTTCAGAAAACCCACTCAGGGGAGTCTGAGAGTCTGGTAAGTACATCAGGAAAGGGTCAGAGAGACTGGAACCTGAGAACTTTCATTGAGTCTCTAGGACCCTAATCATCCCAGTCCTGAGACCAGATATCTCTGTTTGTATTCTTGGTTAAGGAACTAATTTATACTTAATTTACTTAATATGTTAATAAGGAAGTGTCCATTTGAATCTGCTCTTCCGGGCCAAGCAATGGGCCTGGGAGTCCAGTCAGATGATGCTGTACAATGAGTGAGATGCGTGAAATGGCTACAGGAAAATAAAACACTGTGAGTGATTTCCTGTTTGGGGAGAAGGAAATGGAACATTGGGTGTGGAGAGCAGTGCAGTGAATTGAGAGCATTTGTACTAAAATTCCAAGATGGGGTGTATTTTAACATGTTTTGTATTCATTGAAAGATCCAGCCAGTAGAAGTAGACAGCACCTTGCAGTAGCAGTTAAGGAGACAGACAATGCAGTATCTTCTCTCATGCTGCATATTCACATGAGAAAATATTTAATAAGTCTAAATGTAATCCTAAGTAGTTCTACTTCATTATTGGTTAGGCTGATATATTTTAGGATTTTGTGTCCTTTTATGTCTCTATTCAAACAGTTAGTAAAAATTCCTATCCCGCACTCAGCCTTTCCATGCAGTGCACATTTTTCTATGTGTTGAATGAGAGATGCTGTCATGTTCTTGGGAATATGAATTGAGGACTCACCCTATTCTAGCCAAAGTAGCATGCTGAGAAACAATAGTTTTGAAAATTCAGGAATGAAAAAATTAAGGCCACACATTGTATCTTAGATCTTAATGACACCAAGACATTCTAGTTCACATTTATATTTATGCCATGATGACTTCACTGTTTCAGCTAACGAAGTGGAAATCTTCAAATATTAAAAAATTTCTGTTCTACCCCCTGTGAATTTTCAAAGTAAAATACTTACCCAGGGAAGCTAATGAATGCAGCCACTTAAGCTCAGTCCCTCCATCACATGTCACTGACTGTATTAGATTGCTGAGACTGCTGGGAAACACTCCCACACCAGTTATTTTCAGTGAGCACAGTTATGAGCATATAGTTCTTGCTGTCAGAGGGTGGCACAAGTCTCAATGGCTAATCTCAAGGTGTCTGCAGGGCTGGTTCCCTCTTAGAGGCTCAGGAAGAACCTAAGAGAGACAGGGGAGAGCTGTCTTGTCCTTAATTCCAGTTTGGGTTCTGACCACCTACATGCCTTGGCACAGAGCCCTATCTCCTTCACCAAAGCCAGCAGTGTTACATTTTCTCCTGGTCTCCCCCTCTGCATCTTGGGGAGCACTGTGCTGACCTTGTTTCCCTGGATGATCCTACTCATCTTCTACCTTCAAGTCAGCTGATTTCAGCCCTGTTCCTTCTGCTACCCTCATTCTCCAGTTGATATAAAAACATCATATTCAAACATACTGGGGATTAGGACATAATATCTTATAGAAGTCAGAATTCTGCCTACTACAAAATGTTTTTCGGAATACTATGATTATGTGTCACTCAAGGGCCCTTATATAAAGGATACACAGATTTAATCATAGCCTCTGAAATAAGTGAATACATTCTTCTGCCAAAACTCTACACAAAGACGATGTTTGAATCACAGGAACTGAAACAACTTGTAATTGAGTTTAACACAGAACCACACAGCCTTTCTTCCCAGAGAGAAGTCCACAGACAGGATCTGCAGCATCAGTACCACCTGGGCGCTTGCCAGATACACAGCTTCTCTGAACCTGAAAAATCTGCTGAGTCAGATTCTGAATTAGAATTAGAATTCTGGGTATACTATATGCATTTGAAACTGAAGAAGTGCTGGTCTAAACTAGATTTTTACCTTTTACAATTTACATTTGAGGATGGATTATAAATACAGGGGTATTTATTTGTGTGAGCATGAATTATAAATGTTTAGTGGTATCCCTTCAGGCATTGCTAAGTGTAAAGTCATTACCAGTTGAGACCCACTGACTGGAAGAAACCAGACATAATCATAACCAAGGCCCATTATATAGTCTGATATTACCTTTGAGCAAATTGCTAAACCCCTTTGGCTCCTCCCTAAGGCCTTGGTACCAGGCATCCCCACTGCCAGGTACCCACTTGCTCATACAGCCTTGATCTTTCTCCCTTTCTCTCTTGAGTTGAGCTCGCAAATGTCACTTATTGGCAGGTCTTGCCTAAAAACACATGAAAAATAGAACAGCCTGGATACTTTCCTTTTATACCTGCTTTTGTTTTCTTCATAGGATTTGTCACCATTTGCAATGTTATATTTATTTCTATTTTTTGCTTCTATATTTTTTTCCAATATTACCTTGTAGGAATTTGTATTCTTCAGCATCATCTACTCACAGCTTTGACAGTGCAGAAAACACAGTCAGCACTCAATCTGTATTCCTAAAAAACTTGAATAATTTTTCCTTAATACTGTAATTAGGCTAACACCTTGGGGGGGGGAACAGATTGGGACAAAGATTTGATTAACACAGAAAACTCCTAGAAGGAAACAGATCCATCTCAAAATACTGAAATTAATATCTTAACTACAACATATAAACGGTAGCATTACAGCTATGTGAGTAATACTGCTTTGTGTGAAAATTACTCTTGTTCTTTTTCTCTTTCTTGCAAGTCACCTCCACCTCATGGCAGCAGGGAACCTTACCAGGGTGTCAGAATTTCTTCTCCTGGGACTATCAGAAAAACCAGAACTGCAGCAGCTCCTGTTTGGACTTTTCCTTTCCATGTACCTGATCACTGTGTTGGGAAACCTGCTCATCATCCTGGCTGTCAGCTCAGACTCCCACCTCCACACCCCCATGTACTTCTTCCTCTCCAACCTGTCCTTGGCTGATATCTGTTTCACCTCCACCACTATCCTGAAGATGCTGGTGAACATCCAGACACAGAACAAGGCCATCACCTATGCAGACTGCATCACACAGATGTATTTTTTTCTATTCTTTGGTGTGTTGGACAACTTCCTCCTCACTGTGATGGCCTATGACCGATTTGTGGCCATCTGTCACCCCCTGCACTACACGGTCATCATGAACCCCCAGCTCTGTGGACTGCTGGTTCTGGTGTCCTTTATCATAAGTGCCCTGGATTCTCTGCTACAATGCTTGATGGTGTTGAGGCTGTCATTCTGCACAGACTTGGAAATCCCCCACTTTTTCTGTGAACTCAATCAGGTGACCCAACTTGCCTGTTCTGACACTTTTCTTAATGACATGATGATATATTTTTCAGCTGTGCTACTGGCTGGTGGTCCCCTGGCTGGGATCCTTTACTCTTACTCTAAGATAGTGTGCTCCATACAAGCAATCCCATCAGCTCAGGGGAAGTTTAAAGCATTTTCTACCTGTGCATCTCACCTCTCAGTTGTCTCCTTATTTTATGGTACAATCCTAGGAGTGTATCTCAGCTCTGCTGGTACCCACAGCTCACAGTCCAGTGCAACAGCCTCAGTGATGTACACTGTAGTCACACCCATGCTGAACCCCTTCATCTACAGCCTCAGGAACAAAGACATAAAGGGGGCTCTGAAAAGATTCTTTGGATGGCAGGTAAACAAGTTATAATTAATATGAGGTCAAAAATTGACCTTGATTTCTAGGCCCCAAAATGCAAAACTAGAAATTGGGGAATTTTAATTAGATTGTGGGTTTTGAACTTTCTCCTTTTATTTCTGTCCTGGAGTTTTCATTTCTATGAGTTCAGCTTCTCTGTATAAGTTAAGTCACTGTTTTATTAAGCTCTGCTACATCTATTATCTAGACAGTGTTTCTCATTTTCCTAGTTTCACATAGTTTTTCCAAATATTCGTAAATTCAAGTTCATTTCATGGAAGCATTTATTTCTCTTTTTAATATATTTTTTATTGTTGTTCAAGTATAGTTTTCTGCCTTTCCTCCCCCATTATTGTCCATATGTCCTTTATAACTGTTCCTGTAAATCCTTCTCCCTTTTCCCCCATTGTCCCTTCCTCTCTCTCCTCTGAACACTGTCAGCCTGTTCTCAATTTCAATGTCTTTGGCTTTACTGGAGAGCATTATACTAAGTGAAATAAGCCAGGAGGTAAAAGACAAATACCATATGATATCACCATTAACAGGAACCTAATCAACAATGAACAAGCATTGATTTCTTAAGACTGATTTCTTCTCAAATGACATACATCACTATATTAATGTGCTTTTATTTTGTAGATAGATAGTCATAAATATATTGTCATATGGAAAAAATTTTCACTTGGTTACTCACACCATTTATATACTCTCATTCCAGGAAAATCTGAAACCTCAGTTTTTACCAAGTGTCCCTCATTCAGTATATATCAGTACCTTAGTGGATTTTCCTGAGAATGTAGACTAGATCATTGTTCCCTGTATGTTTCAGCCTGTTGACTGTGATGCTACAGAATAGGAAGGCCAGGGCACTGGCCTGGGGTCCTGTTACTTGTTTCTCAGATCACACTTGATGTTACATAACAACAGCATCTTGTTGTCCTTATAATTGCAACAACCATCACAGAAGTATGAAAACCTAAGAATATCACTCTAAGTTCCTGGATGGTACATGGCACCCTGAGGGCCACAGAGGGTTTAGAATGGAGGGTGGGGAGAAGGAGAGAGATAAAGAGTGAGAGAATGGATTGAATTAGGTGGGGAGGCTTAGGTGCTTCTCTAAGCAGCCTTGTCACATAGTTGGCAGAAGGATTATTTGAGATGGATTTCTTTAAAACAAATACCTCATACCTGAAAAACTATAATGCCATTATGAAGTGACCTTCTGGGTCTCTTTTAATGGCCTTTGTTTTGAAGTCCATTTTGTCTGATCTGAGTATTGCTACCCTGGCTTTTTTTTCCTGTCCATTTGCTTGGAATATTTTTCCAACCCCTCACTTTTAGTCTGTGTAGAATGGCCATCATAAAAAAATCAACAAACAACGAGTCCTGGTGAGGATGTGGAGAAAATGGAAATCTAGTGCACTGTTCGTAGGATTGCAAACTGGTGCAGCCACTGTAGAAAACAGTATGGAATTTCCTCAGAAAATGAAAAGTGGAACTGCCTTTTGCCCAGCAATTCCACTGCTGGGATTATATCCTAAAACCCTAAAATACCAATCCAAAAGAACCTATGCACCCCAATGTTCATAGCAGCACAATTTACAATAGCCAAGTGCTGGAAGCAACCTAGTGCCCACCAGTAAATGAATGGATCAAAAAGTATGGTAAATTTACACAATGGAATACTACTCAGCAGAAAAAGAGAAGAAACTCCTACCCTTTGCAACATATGGATGGAACTAAAGAGTATTATGCTAAGTGAAATAAACCAGGTGGTGAATGACAAATACCATATGACCACACTCATAAGTGGAACCTAATCAACAAAAAAAAAACAAGCAAGCAAAATATAGCCAAAGATATTGAAATTAAGAACAACCTGACAGTAACCAGAGAGGAGGTGTAAGGGGATAATGTGGCTAAAAGGGGAAAGGGTTTTCAGGAACAACTATAAAGGACAAATGGACAAAATCAAGGGGTGGGTGGGATCAGGAGAGGGAGGCAGGGATGGCTGGTGTGGGGGGGGAGGGGGGAGGGAATGCAGACAACTGTACTTGAACAACAATAAAATAAAATAAAAGTGTTATGTCAGGCATTTACACTAGTCTCATTGTATAAAACCTTGGGTTTTATAACCAGTCTCCTTGTTTTACTGTCTTATTCAGCTCAGTGTTCAGAATACCTTTCATAGTACCTACAAAAAAGTGATTTTCAAGTATATATCTCCCAATGCATTCTATGTGTATATGAGGGAGGACAGAAAGGACTTAGGGAAAATCCCAGCAGGTGCCATGAAGTAGTAGGAACAGACATCTTCTCACCAGACCCCACCCCCATTCAGTCTTGATCAAAGAGAAAACCATTTATGGCAGGAAAACCTCTCTAGTGGGTGTGGAAGTCAACAACAAGGGCTGGCTACTCTGGATAATTCCAAAATGGAGTAAAAATGGTCTGGAGACCCACCCCAAAGCTCATTATACCATCATTATAATGAAAATTGACACCTCAATTTGTGGTAAAAATTGACACCACAAATTGAGGAGAGCAAAGGCCATGACCCTTCCAGAAGGAGCATGTTTGAACAAGGGCCTCTTCCAACCTGAAGACAGAGTAAGAATTAGGTGTCCTAAAGCTCGGAGAAACCCCTCCTTCACCTTGGACACACATAAAATCCCAAGGACTAACTGGTGCGCAAACTCCATCTCCAGGTAGCCCTCTTCCACTCAGGTGGGTACTTTTCTTTTCCAGGGATGCCTGGGCCTCTTTCTTTTTATCTACCTAAATAAAACCTGCTTTATTGTCCTTTATCTACAATAGTAGTTCTTTGAGCTACAATTCCACTCCATGCAAAGTGGTTCCCTACATTCCATTTTTATTTTTTTGAGGAAATTCCATGCTGCTTTACATAGTGGCTGTGCCAGTCTGCATTCCCAATAGTGCACTAGGGTTAATGTTCTTCCAAATCTTCACCAGCATGTGGTATGTTATTTTTTTGTGGTTGTCGATTTATTAATTATAGGGAACCATTCTGAGTGGCGTGGGGAATGTAGTCCAGCCCCCACTGAGAAAGGCCAGTGGGTAGTGAGGTTAGCACACAGGACCCAAACCCACGGATAGGTTCTCCTGTGCAGAATCAGGCCTGCATTATACCTAGGCTGCTATGAGACTTGCTTTTGCTAAAACTCCCTCAATTTGGATTGAGGCAGAAATGTTTACTGAATATCTTTAAAGTACCTTCCTAAAATCTGTGCAAAACCTCCCAAGTACGGAGTGTAATCAGTTCAACCACTTTTTGCCTTGATCTGTAACATCCTTCTCTTTGAAGTAATTAGCAACATTCTTTCCTTTGTTATCTGTAAAAGGAAAGCTAAAGCTAACCTAAAGCTAACGTGTGCACAGTAAATAAGGACCATCCTCAATGTAATGTATATAGAAAAGCAATAAAAGCCTGTCCAGGCAGGGGTTGGGGCTCTCTCTCTCTCTTAGAGAGTGGCCATGCCATTCTTTTTTCTCCACAGGACTTCTGCAGTCTGTGTGAATTTTTTCATCACAGCCACAACACACGGACTGTGTAGGCCAGGGTCCACAACAATTAATGATGGCCATTTTGGCAGGTGTGAGGCGATATCTTATTGTGGTTTTAATTTGTTTCTCTTTGATGGCTACTGACATTGAGCATTTCTTCATATGTCTCTGGGTCATCCGTATGTCCTTGTTGAAGTGTCTCTTCAGGTCCTTTGCTCATTTCTTAATTGGATTGTTTGTTTCCCTGGTGTTGAGTTGTATGAGTGTTTTATATATTTTGGAGATTAAAACCTTGTCCAAAGTATCATTGGCAAACATGTTCTCCCATCCAGTCATTTCCCTTTTCATTTTGATGATGGTTTCTTTAGCCATGCAGAAGCTTTTTAATTTGATGTAGTCCCACTTGTTTATTTTTCCTATATCTCCCTTGCCCTAGGTGATATATCAGCAAAATATTCCTACATGAGATATCTGCAATTTTACTGCCTATGTTTCCCACTAGGATTTTATGGTACCCTGACTTACTTAAAATACATTTAAATATTTTATCCATTTTGAGTTTACTCCAGTGTATGGTATAAGATGATGATCTAGTTTAATTTTTTTTCAAATACTCGTCCAGTTCTCCCAACACCATTTATTGAAGAGACTGTGTTTATGCCACTGTGGGGTTGTGCCCCCTTTGTCAAATATTAATTGATCACAAAGACATGGTTTTATTTCTGAGTCCTCTATTCTGTTCCATTGATCTGTATATCTGTTCTTATGCCAGGACCAGACTGTTTAGATTACAGTAGCCTTGTAGTATAGTTTTGTATCAGGCATTGTAATTTCTCTAACTTTGTTCTTCTTTCTCAAGATTGCTAAAGCTATTTAGGGTCTATTATTTGGTTCCATATATATTTTTGGAATATTGTTCCTAGATATGTGCAATGCACCATTGGTATTTTAATAAGAATCACATTGAATCTGTAGATTATTGTGGGTAGTATGGATATTTTAATGATGTTAATTCTTCCGATCCACAAACACATTTTATGCTTCCACTTATTTATATCTTCCTCGATTTCTTTCTGTGTGAGTACAGGTCTTTTACCTCCTTGGTGAAATTAATTCCTGGGTACTTTTTATTTTGTTGTTGCTGTAGTAAATGTAAAAAGTTTTCTTAGTTTCTCCCCTTGTAGTTCATTGTTGATATACAAAATGCCATCAATTTCTGAATATTGACCTGCTACTTTGCTGCATTTACTTATTAGGTCCAGTAGTTATCTTATGGAGCCTAGAGAGTTTTCTATGCACACTATAGTGACATCTGTGAATAATGGAAATTTTGCTTCTTCCTTTCCAATTTGGATGCCTCCTATTTCTTCCCCTTGTCTGATCACTATGCCTTGGATTTGCAGTACTATGTTGAATAAGAGTGATGAAAGTGTACACCCTTGTCTTGTTCTCAGTCTTAAGGGAAACACTTGTAGTTTCTGTCCATTGAGTATGATGCTGGCAGAAGATTTTTCCATATATAGCCTTTATCAATTTAGATATGCACCCTCTATTCTCACTCTACTGAGTATTTCTTCATAAATCGGTGCTGGATTTTATCAAATGCTTTCTCTGCATCTATTGATAGGACCATGTGATTTTTGTCTTTCATTTTGTTTATGTGACATATCATATACAAATTAAAAAATTTAAGAGAGAGGTAAAAGTTTCTATTTGGCTTCCAGGGTCTCCATTGCCTTCAACTCAAAATTATTCACATACACAACTGTGGCTACTCATTCTGAATCCCTACATTAGTGACCCAGATCCATTTTTTATAATGTATTTGTATAATTTTCTAAAGACCATTTATTGGAGACACTACTCTTTCCCCATTGTATATTTCTGGCTCCTTTGTCCTAACTTAATTACCTTATTTTATGGGTTTATTTCTGGGTTCTCTATTCTGTTTCATTGCTCTATGAATCTATTTTCATGCCAGTACAATACTGCTTTAATCGCTATAGCTTTGTAATGTAGTTTGAAATTTGTGAGTGTGATGCCGCCAGCTTTGTTTTCCCTTCTCAAGATTGCTTTCGCTGTTGAGGGTCTTTCATGGTTCTACCAACTTTAAGAATTGTTTATTCTATTTCTGTAAAAATGCCACTGGAATTTTGATAGAGATTGCAATGAACCTGTAGATTGTTTTTGAGTATGTTAAAAAAGGGTTCAACTTAGTAAATTTGAAGATCTAATTGGCTTTATAAAGTAAGTCATCCATCAGGCAGTATCTAATCTGAC